CAGTACATGATGTGCAGCAGGACTCGATCTGAGTGGGGGGATTCAGGGGAAGTAAAAACCTGCCTACCATGCAGTAGCACTGTGTAGGGCATTAGAAGTGAAGACAATTAAGACATATAACAAGGACACTTCCTTACTGATATTCTTTCCTTTCCAATCTGCCTATAACCAAGCAAACTGAAGTCACAAATATGCAGTGGTAGAAGTGACAACTGCTGAGTTGAAATGTACTTTGCTCATATCTTATTCAAAGTCAAGATGGAAATACTACACAAGACCAATTCACCAAGGACAATTAACATTATGGTAAAACCTCAAATCTGTGCCACACTGCTTCTCTTCCTGCAGAGCACTACAGACTAGAGGCTCTAGTGACAAAAGAATTAAAGGTGCATCAGAGATTAGCACGGCCAGTCTTATTTTAAATGTTAGTACAGAATAATTGAGAAAGTTAAGCAACTGGCCAAGATCACATCTCAAATTAGTCGAAGGGCTAAATCTAGAATACCCACTGAAATGTCTGTGTCTAGTCCTCATTAAGCACAAAAAGTGCTAACAGTTAACCCTAAAGTTAATTTGTATTTCATTACATTTGAACACTAAATGTATGTAATTACATTTGAACACTAAATGATAAAATGTTAGATACTTGGCTACTACAAAAAATTATTATTTTAGTAGTCTTAATAGTAAAAGGCCATTCCAACAACATCCATTACTAAATTTTCTTCCTATATTTTGCCAAACCTCAAAATTGTATAGAAAAAAACGGAAATTATTTGATATTCTTATGTTTACATGAGAAAAAAATCATTTCACAGAAGAAAAACATTAATTCCTATGTAAAGAGTCTATTAACTTATAATACAAAGATTTTCCAATAAAACGTGGCAGAAAAAGTTCAAAGATTTTCATGTTTTCCAGAACAATTTTAGCTATAAGGAATCATTAAATGTATTACTCTGAATAAAGAAGTAAAGCATTAAGAACGGGAAGATAAAAATGATTATTGCTTAGCATTTCCTGGCTTCCCAGTGACATGCACTGTGCTAGATGAGCTCTCTGCACACATCACTACACTTCCTAACAAACCTGTGAGACGTGTGGTATAGTTACCACTTTTGCTAACTGTACAGTAGGGGCTACCTCCAAAGTAAAGGATCAGTTTACTCAGATCGGGCAAAACCAAAGTTCATTCTCAAAGCAGTTTGCCTCTCTGGAACCTCTGTTCCTAATTATCACCCACTCTCCATAATGTAGATCAAAGTCAATCCATCACATCTAAGAAGCCAGTTCCAAGATCTCCAAGACTCCTTCCAGAAACGTTTCTATCATCAAACACAGCAACAGTTAAGAGCTCATATAATAGTAGTTTTACTCCAGGCCTAAGGAAAAGGTCATCAGCAGAAGCCAGTGATGAGAGAAAGAAGAGTACAAGGAAGAAGGGAAAGATTATTATCAGTATCTTCTTCCAAGCAGCTTCTTGCAGCTGCATTTTAGTAGACAACAGGCCACTGGGGCAAAAGTTGGTAAGAGGAACTCCAAACAGGAACAGAAAGCAGAACTGAAAGAATGTGCATACATCAACATACCCAGGCCACTGATGTGTTTACCCCACAACTAACCGAGAAGCTGTGGGAAGGCCTGCAGGTGCTGACAGTCATGAGGCCCACACTGAAACAAGACAAAGACTAACATAAATACTGAGCAGAAGTTAAGAGGAAGAGCTGGGTGCAAATGACCAGCAGTTTCCAAAATAGGCATAATCACAGCAATGCAGAAGTAGCTCAAAGTCTGGGCAACAAGACAGATAAAGTATTCAAGCTGAAATAAGAAGAGATTTGAAATTCAGAGAGAAAAAGCAAAGGTTAGAGAAAGCCCTTCTGCACACAGATAGAATTAAGAAATCTGGCAAAACAAAGCTGTTCCTTGTCTGGGGATCATGGTGACCCTTGGTTCTATTCCTATTTAAACATTTGCCTTGCTTGCTAAGACCTCTCTTGCCACCTATGGCTAGGATGACATGTTGTCTTGGAGCTGTGTTCTATATTTAAGAATAAACCTTTATTAAGAATGGATAAGTGGGACTAAGAAGATAGCATAGTCAGTAAAGAGCCTGAGTTCTGAATCTCTTCATATGCACACTTTCTAAATAACTGGACATGGCTTTTTGCCTATAATCCTAGACTTGAGCAGGCAGAGAGAGGAAGATGTCTAAAGCTCAGTGGCCAGCTAGCCTGAATTCAGTGAGAAATCCTATCTCAAAAAGTTACAAGGGAAGCAATTAAGGATGAAAGTCTCTACAAACATCCACACATCTATACATGTGTAACTGTATACACATGCAGATACCCACACATATACCACATAAACACACACACAAAAAACATAAAAATGGGATGGAAATATAGCACAGTTGGTCCTTGCCTAACATGGACAAAGCCCTGGGTTTAATTCCTAGCACCACATTAATAAGACATGGCAGTAAAAGTGTCTAAAAGTATAAACTCAGTACAAGCCAACAGTATAGTTTTGCTGAGTAAAATCAAATATACTAGCTATGATGGTTTGAACATGTATGGCCCCCATAGACTCATGTATATAAATGCTTGACCCACAGGGAATGGCACTACTAGAAGTTATGGCCTTGTTGAAGTAGGTGTGGCCTTGTTGAAGTAGGTGTGGCCTTGTTAAAGAAAGTACGTCACTGTGGAGGTGGGCTTTGAGTTTATATATGCTCAAACTACTCCCAGTCTCCTGCTGCCTGAAGATCAAGTTGTACAACTCTCAGCTCTTCCAGTGCCATGCCTGCCTGGATGCTGCCATGCTTCCTGCCTTGATGATAATGGACTGAACCTCTGTAACTGTAAGCTAGCCCCAATTAAATGTTTGCCTTTATAAGAGTCGCTGTGAGCTGAGTGTGGTGGTGCAAGCCTTTAACCTTGGCAGGTTAAAGCACTACATTGTTAAAAGCATAGGATAAAGCACTTGGCAGACAGAAGCAGGTGGATCTCTGTGAGTCAAGGCCAGCCTGGTCTGCAAAGTGTCCCAGGACAGCCAGGGTTATACACAGAGAAACCCTGTCTTGAAAAACAAAACAAACAAACAAACAAAAAATTGCAATAAAATCCTAGCTAAGACACGTGCCAACTAACTACTGGAATTTTTTTTAAAAAAAGTCTTAAGTTGTATTTGTAAAAACAATGGAGGGGACAGGAATGGGGAGACGGCTCAGTGAGCAAGAACCTGAGTTCAGACCTTAGCACCCACATGAAGTCAGCCACGGCTCCACAGCTGCTTGGAACCTCAAGGTCATGGGTGAATGAAGACAGGGGGGTTACTGGGACTGCCAGGCTTCCAGGTTCAATAAGAGAACATTCTTCAATCTCTCACTCAAGGGAATAAGGCAGAGAGTCATAGCACAGGGCACCTCACATCCTCCTCTGTCCTTCATATGAAAACTGGTAACACACACACACACACACACACACACACACACACACGCAGAGAGAGAGAGAGAGAGAGAGAGAGAGAGAGAGAGAGAGAGAGAGATGGAGAGAGAAATTAGCATATTCTCAAGCTTCTCCCTCCAACTTAGTAATAACCTGATGCAGTAAAGAATTACATATGTGTAAAAAATTTTCCAAAAAGTTTCAGTACAAGGATTAAGGGTAGTTCCATAGGGAAAGCCCTTAGTTCAACATTGTTTTACAGTAAGTGTGGGTGGAGAGCAGAGGTACAGGTTCTTAACACAGCCTTCTCTTCAGCTAGACAGCCATAGCAGCTGGTTCCACAGAAAGGTCTTCCTAGGGAAAGCATAAAACTCCTGACTCCAACTTCTCAATTTACAAATGAAGACACTGTGGAGATTAAAGGGGCTGTCCCAGAAAGACTTCTGCTACCTCAGCTAAAATTAAAATGCTTGCTTTCTTTTTTTCTTTTTTTTTTTTAGAAACCCAAACTCAAATTTCTAGGCCTGTTTTTTACTTCAAAGTTAAATTGCTCTACAACCCCATGTTTTCAGTCTTTCCTAAATTCCTAGTCAAACTTCACATCAGTAATCACACATCAATAACTGTCTTTTTAGGACAGCTACTCTGCCAGGGATAGTCTTCTTCAGTTAGTCATCACTACAACTTTCTTCAGTAAACAAAGAAACTTGGCTCAGAAACTAACTGTAACCTGTCTGAGATTACAGAGTGAGGCCAGAATCCTGGTGTGATTTCTAAAGCCAAGATCATACTACTGTATTCTTTCTAATCCCAGTGCCTTGTGCATTCAGGCCTCAGAGACTCCTAGAACTATAGAATTATATATCCTTGTCATTATAGAAGACACAGGTACTTTTCCATTCAGACCTATAGGGTAATTAATGTCTCATGCTGCAGCTAAATACAAAGGCACTGGAGAAGCCTGTCTTAAACCGTGAACTCAAGTTAAAGACCAGAAAGACCTGATCCTTGCACTCACCTCAGATCCGGACACAGACCTTCAGCCTCTAAAGGTAACATTTCAGCTGAGAGAAGCAGTTTAGCTAAGCGAAGAGGCTGGCGCTTTACACTGTTATATTATGTAATGGGTACATTAATATTTGTGTTGAGAGACCTAAAGGTGAAGGTTAGCCTCCATACATTAGAATTTGAGTTGAGAGATATGGGGTCAAAGGTTAGTCTTCATAATTTGGTTTTATCCAAGGTAAAAAAAAAAAAAAGAGTTTAGATTGAAGCATTTTCTGAGATGAAGTGTTTAAAATATGTATCCTGGACCTCCACAACTGGAGGAATAAATTTCTCGTGGTCTCTGTTGGGGAATACTCGAATAATTAAGGCTTAAGGCTACCCTCCAGAAAATGTGAACTAAAACCAAGCCAAGTCCTAAGTATCAGAGTCTGAATTCTGGAGTGGGTGGCGGTGCTCCATCAAGCTGTAACAGCCAAGCAAGGTACGGGCGGGCGGTTGGGACGTGAGACCTGGAACCCTTACTCCCCAGCCTCCGCTTACCTTCTGTTGGAAGTAAAGAACTGAGTAGTTACTGGTTACAGCAGGGTCGGGTATGGGAGTGGTTGACAAGTCCGGGCTGCCGAGGGTCTTTAGCCTAGGCCGGATGGTTGTGGCTGCCCCGAGTGATATGAAAGACAGGAGCAGGAGAGCCCGGCAGCCCATGGCTCGGGCTGGCAGCCACAATGTAGGCGGCTAAAGAAAGAGAGCCACCAGCCGAAGCGCACAAACTAAGCCCGGCCGGGTTCGTAGCTCCGCCCGCTGCAGACCAGCTCCTCCCCCGAGAATACTAAAACCAGGCAGCTCCTGGCCCCAAAGGCGTTGCCTCCACACTTGCCACCCGCCATCCTCCTTCTCCCCGCCCACCTCCACTGAGGTCACACTCTACGTCGGCCTTTACTACGCAGGGCTTAGCCCCATCCTTATCTATGGCTCCCCAAGCCCTATCGCTACTCTAGGTTATGCCACATCCCTGCCTTTAGTGTCACCATCGCACTGTCCCAGCAACCTCAGTCCCACGGTAACAGCCCCGCTCTCGGCAAATCCTAAGTAATGTCACGGGGCGGGCGGGGGAAAGAGGGAGAGAGAGAATGTATTGTCAATCTTCACCAGGCATGACGGCACACACGTGACCTCTCACGCAACCAGAATAGCAACCTTTCTGGCCGCGTTCGACTCTCCTCTCTACTTAGATGAGGAAGCAAATACAGGAACTCGACCCTGGGCCTCTCAGGTAGCAGGGAATGGAGCGAGGTTCCCAGATCGCTCTGTCCCCTTGTAGGCTGTTCGGGCTCTTCGCCTCCGTTGTTCCAGCCTAATCAGCCCCACGACGGTATTCAGTTCTCGGGTCATCCCAACCTCCGCATTGCCCGCAGGACTCGTCCCTTCTGTAGCCACTGGGTCTTCGGCGCAGACAGTCTTCTCTCAGCCCGGGTAAGCCATCCAGGCTCCGCGATGGCGACTCCCTCTACAACAGCGCCCCCTCTCGTCCAGCCCGAGGCGCCAACTTTCACCCGCTCCCACGCCCTCGGGTTCCGTCTGAGGCGTGCAGCCTTCCCTTCCCACACCTCGAGCCTTCCCGGCTTCCCCCTCACTTCGCCGAGAGAACTACAGCTCCACCAATCGACGAAGAACGTCCCTCAAAGCCCACAGCTTGACCAGAATGGGGGGGGGGAGTAAGCGACACGCTCTGCGGAGCATTTTCTGATTGGCTCTCCTGAAAGCCCGTCAAGACGGTACTTCCGGCGGAAGAGGACGCGGGAGATTCGATTGCTGGCGTTTAGAGAGCGGCTGGTTGAGCGGCTGGCTGAGCGGCCGGTGTCGTGTGATGGTTGCCCGGGCTTGTCTGGGTCCTTTGCCTCAGGTGAGAAGCTGAAGAAGGGAGTTCTTGGGGGGCTCTAGGTCGGGAGACTCCTGACGAGGCGCTGTTACCTTTCGTTCCATATAGATTTATTTCAAGACTCCTAGCGGTAAAAGCTGGAGACGAGGTTAAAAGGAAAGTCAGTCCTTTTCATATTCCTTGGCAAATGTTTATCAACACTTTACTGTTGCTGCGGAGCCCCAGAAGCCCAGAAAGGAAAGGGCTCGACTTTCAACTGGGACATAAAAATATGTCAGCAGTACTATGCAGAATAGTGCTAGGTGCTGGCAAAGATGTTTTATTTTTCAGATTACTTTGATTGCCCAGAGAAAGTATTTTACCGAATAATGCATGCAATCCAGAAATGAAACTTTTCTATTTTCCTTGATCTCTCGAATCCATATCTGAGATCCAAATCCAACTCCCCTCTGAACAGTGCCACAACCACAACCTAACCTGTGACTGATGCATGCTGTGACAGTAGCCTTCCAGCTGTGTCCCCTGCTTATCCGTTCTCCATAAGACCAGACAGACAGGAGAAACATTTTGACCAAGATACTCACCGTTATAACTTGTTTTAGAAGCTTCTGTTCGTCCCGATGTTTTAAGTCCAAATTCCTTAACTTGGGTTAAAAGCTCTTTGGCCTTGCTTGCCTTCAGCTCTAGACCTTGCCATACCAACACCCCCCCACCCCCCACACACCCTTTCAGTGTGGGAGATGAAACCCAGTATATCACACACTCTGTTCATGACATACTGGATTATCCCTAAGGATATCAGGTTATCTTTTGTGTTCTTCAAAGGCACCATCTTCTCAACCTCCCAAACTTCTTTTTATCCCACCCACATCCAAGGCTTGTTCTGACTCATTTGTAATTTCTTAGTTTGCAAAGCCTTTCTGGATGGTTTTGTTTTATGCATGTGAGTTAAGATAGCAGGATTTTATACCCAAGACTGGCCTTGATCCTCCAACTTCTATCTCCCAAGTACTAAATTTATAGGTGTGTCCCACCAAGGCTGGCCTTGAAAACATATTTAAAAGCATCTTGGATTTAAAAGCGTTTCTTGACCTTGCAAAACTGGATCATGAAGCACTAACTCTGCCATTTTGTATTAATTCCTCAGATAAATTTTTAAGCACCTCCATTATGCCAAGAAGGACCGGGTTTTTGACTTCAGTTAACAATAGAGACTGCTGTCCTAGGGTATGTACCCCCACACCTTTTTTTTTTTTTTAATAGAATTAAACCGAATAGCAAAATTGAGTATGGAGACCTGTATCGCTAACCTCAGCACTCTGGAGGCTAAGTCAGGAGAATCTCTAGTTTGAAGATACAAAGAGTCTTAAGGGCTGCAGAGGAAAATTTTATCTTAAAAAAAAAAAATGGGTCTAGAAATAACCATGGATCTGGAAAGTTCCCTCTAAAGAATTGATGCTCAACTGGTGAATGTGACAAGGCTTGGAAAGGGAAGGGAGAAGGGAGGGAGGAGTCCTAGTTATCTAACCACAATGGGTTGGGTTGGGTTTGTTTGAGACAAGGTCTCTTTATGTATTCTTGACTGGCCTCACCCTGCTTCTGCCTCCTAAGTATGGGATTAAAGGCTTATACCACCACTTCCAGCTTTGCTTTTTAATTTTTGAGAAAGAATCTAAAGTTGGGTGGGTAGGAGGGTGGGGGAGGGGAAATAGAAAATATATTGTATGAAATTCTAAAAGAATAACTATTAAAAAGGAATTAGCTGCCAAGCAGTGGTGGCGCACACCTTTAATCCCAGCACTTGGGAGGCAGAGGCAGGAGGATTTCTGAGTTCGAGAGTTCAAGGCTAGCCTGGTCTACAGAGTGAGTTCCTGGACAGCCAGGGCTACACAGAGAAACCCTGTCTCGAAAAACCAAAAAAAAAAAAAAAAAAAAAAAAAAAAAAAAAAAAAAAAAAGAATAAGCTGGGCAGGAAGCAGAGGCAGGTGGATCTCTGTGAGTTCAAGACCAGCCTGGTCTACTCAGTGAGTTCCAAGATAGCCAGAACTATATAGAAAGACCCTGTCTCAAAAAAAGGCAGGGGTTGGGGGAGAGGGTAAAAATGTTGGATGTGACCTGGATGTGGAGGGAGATGAAAAGTCTTAAGTATCTGGCCGTATGGCTAGTTAAAAATAGTATTATTTCCTAAAATTGAGAGGATTTTGTGATAAGAAAGACTTAACAGGATTCAATTTTTGTTACTTATTCAGCTTTGAATTTGTGAGACTTGTAAATTCAGTTGGCTCTCCTGTAAGAAGTGACATTATGGAAGTCTTTGCATTGTTTCTTCAATACACATTGATGAATAGAACACATTATCTGCCTGATCCACACTAACTTCCTGTTCTTGAACACAACATCCTGGTTTGTTTGATTTTGTTCTACCTCAAATGCTCCCTTCTCTATCTTTTGTTAGAAATACCCCAAAAATGATGCCAAACATAGAAAAGCAATGTTGTATGCTCCAAGACTCGCCTGGCTAATGTTTCAGCAGTTTTCAACAATAGCGCACCTTCTGCTGTAAATCTTGTTTCTGCCTTCTGTGCGTTTCCACTAGCTGCCTGAGAAGTTCCCTTCTTCCTTAGGGACCTCCGTCGGCTAAACCTGGTCCTTGACTATGCCGCAGAAAAGACTGAGCACACTTGATGAGTTTAGTAAGTATTTAGATAGAGTCATTTAGGAAAAGGACAGAACTACAATTCCAGGACACACTGTGGGCTTCACAAGATTCTAAAATGTGTTTAGAGTGTCTTGCTATATATGATCCTGTGGCTGATTTACATTAATCCAAGGAAATAATTTATAAGGCTTTTATAATTCCAGTCGTAAGATGGTCTTATGAGGTGCACTGCTTAGATTTAGGGTGCGAAACACAGGTACAATTGTGTTAAAACTCAAAAATCCTAGCTAGAAGTAAGTTAATACATATTTGAAAGGCCTTCTGAACATATATTTACATACTCAACTTTGGCTCAGTTGCTTTGGAGTTTCTGGATTCAGTAAAAAAGGCAAACTAGATCCTAAGGTGGGGAGCCTCTTTCCCTTCTCATGTCCCCACACTTTTCCTTTCTTTCTTGCCTCAATCAATGCCTTCGACAGGACTATCTCACAGTTTATCCGAACATGCACTTATTGTAACTGTCTCCACACATGCAGAGAGACAGAGAGGCTAATATACAGTTCTGTTTCATGGTAAATTAGAAGCATCTTTGGTTATGGAGTTACCCCATAGAGCTTTAAGACTAAGCCTATCGGAGCCTTCTTGAACACTGACTTGGGCAATCTCTAGAAAAATTAGTTCTCCTCTATGCGCCATAACACTTAGACTTTTCTCCCACTCTCCCTCCCAATCTTATTTCTACTTTTATCTGTATGAGATTAGGAGGAACTGACATTTACCTTGTAGGTTATTGCTAAGTTTCCTTCCTACTATTTTTATTACATCTTTCTTATTATAAAAGCTATACATTTAGAGAGAAATGCTGTAGCTGTTAAGAGACCTTGCTGCTGTTAAAGAGCACCTGGCTCAATTTTCAGTACCCTCATCCAGTGGCGCACATCCAGTAGTGTTACCTACTGTAATACCAGCTCCAGGAGATCCATGGGCACCTGCACACAGATGTACATATACACATAGAGACAAACACACACATACAAATAAAAATAAGTCATTCCCCCAAGAAGTATACATTTTGAAAATATTTTAGATATATAAGATTGTTTAATGATGTTCTAATACCATCACTGACAGAAAACACTTTTTTATAAACAAGTTATATTATCCTAACCCTAACTCTCTCTTCACCTCACCCCACCTCTGAGCAAAAACCTGATCAGTCCTCTTGTATTTTCTCA